ATACAAAATGTTTCCTTTTCACAACATGTAGCTTGAAAAAAATGATGACCTATCAATTTTATTGTTTTGTTTATTATACTTCATTTTGGCAACGTATGAACAAATTCTATCATTTTTCTTTTATACTCCCATGCCACCTTAAATAGGAGAACTTTTGGTTGATTAAATTGCGTGTAATGAAGTGTAGAGAGTCAAAAAGTCAAACTGTAAACCGGATTAAAAGTACATCTAGAAGCATGCAATTATGTCTAAAACATTCAAAAGATTTTTTTACACTGCAAAATAAATTAATTCAATTAATTGCATATGCTTTAGGACAAACGTTAATGATAACTTCTTTGATAGTTTTTATGTATATAATACATGTATATAAATGAAATGCCGTTTTTTTGTGTTTTTATGCATTATTGCCAGACTTGTTTTTTGTACTAATATGAAGTAGATTTCACACAGAACTTTCTCAAAAAGAAAAAGAAAGCATCTTGCAAAGTTCTTTAATTTCACTTTTGGATATATGAATGGTGTCCAATCACTCAATCACTCAATATCCCATATTTCAAAGAGCACTTTCATCTCATAAATTCTAGTGAATTTTAAAGGGATGATTTCGTGGGAATATCGATTTCTTGTTGATAATCACGTCCTCCAAACGTTACAAATATGTTGTGAATCAAGAAATCAAGCACATTGATAATGTCAGTTTCAAATAATTTTCTTGTTGAATCAGTGTTTTATCCCTCCCTAAGACAGAATACTTTTATCACGTTGGCATTCTTTTATTGAAACAAACTAGGACCAATTCTTTCACTTTGTCTTTTAGTGTAAAAAGGGAAATACTTGTGTAAAAACAGAATCATGAAAATACAACTGATTGGATAATATTGAATATTTTTGTTATAAGGTATAGAGCAAATAGTGAATCCGTAAAAATAATCACACTTAAAAGCAACATTAAATTCTAAAAGTATCTTTTTCTTGACTTTCAGCAATCTGTCCGAAATTGTCGAAAATATTGACCACATATGCATGAATAAATAATTTGTGCTTTTGTCCACAGCTATTTCAAATTGACCGTCAAAAATCTTAATATTATAAATTGTACATAAATATAACTAATTGTGAGTAAATGATTATCTTTAAGCTTACTGAAGAAGATCTATACAATTGTAGTTTTGCATTGAAAGAGACGACACAAAATAGCAATATATATATATATATATATATATACATGCAACAATAGCTTACCGATGTTCAAATCTCATAAATCGATTGAAAAGACAAATCAAGGTAAAAATGAAAACTGCGAGAAGCGCTTGAACTTAAATAAAAAAAGAGAACGGCTGCATCGACAAGATAAGCGTCTACTGCTATGTATACATCAGCCGCCATGCAAATCCACATTCAGTCAAATATCACCATTTGGGAATAGGATGCAATCGGTAAAATGACAAATTAGACGAATATTCTGGTAATTTGATTTCTAAGTCAACGATAGCATATCGCTGGTGATTTGAGATACATAATCATATATATCTGCTAACAAACTCGTGATGTTATAAAAACTTTTGTTTGATCAGTTTTTGTGTGAGGAGGATACCATGCCAATGAGGTCTATGTAGCATTAATATGTACGAGCTTAATGTTTCATTCGATGTATGTAAACGCCATACTACGAATCAGAGGGCATGTTACTGATAGTAAGAAATGTGCAGTTTACGATCTGAAAGTTCAAATCATTACGTTTGTCACAGATTCCAGTTTCAAGTCGTTCGTACGTGTCAATATCGAGGAAAAGGTCACGATATGAACCTGAACTTGTACATTCGGAAGTATCCTTAATCGCAAGTTCACAAGGATGTAAGCACTAGTTAAAATATGGGTTATTGAGTGACTGGAAAATATACTACACGTGACGTACTATAGTCTTAGAAACATGCTTTTATACGTTGTTATTGGCTTTGAAATAGCTTTCAGTAATTACCGAGTACTCTAAGATCTGTACTTTGTGTTGTATTTTTAGTTCTTTTGTTTGTGATGTTTGTATTTCGATTTCATGAGTCAAGCCTTTTTCAACTGATTTTATAAATTGTTCTTAAGTTGTGTGATACACCACTCTCTAGGATCAGGGTGAAGGTTAGGCGACTGCAAACATGTTTAAACCCATCACATTATGTATATCCCTAGTCAGGAGCTTGTGATTCAGTTGATACCAATTGTTGATAAATATCATGAATATAAAAATAAGAAGACGTGGTATGATTGCCAATGAGAAAACTCTTCAAAAGAGACCAAATGACACAGAAATGAACAGCTGTGTTGAAGACCCATTGGTGGCCTTCGGCTGTTTTCTGATCTTTGGTCGGGTTGTTGTTTCTTTGACACATTCCCCATTTCCATTCTCAATTTTAACTATAGGTCACCATACGGCATTCAACAATGAGTAAAACCCATATCGCATAGGCAGCTATAAAAGGCCCCGAAATGATATGTGTAAAACAGTTCAAACGAGAAAACTAACGGCCTGATTTATGTACAAAAAAATGAACGGAAAATAAATATGATATTCAGCAACAAACGACAACACTGAAGTACAGACTCCTGACTTGGGACAGGCACATATAGAATGTGGCGGGGTTAAACTAGTTATATTGCACTAAACCCCACCCCGAACAGGACAGTGGTGCAACAGCACAACACAAGAACACACTATACAAAACAACAAACGAGATAAACAAATATGTCTTTCATTTATTAGTTTGTACAAAAATCAAACTGATAGTTTTCTCGTTTGAAAAGTTAATCATTTGTCATTTCGTGTTTGCTATATGGTGTATGCTTTCCTCATTGTTGAAGGTCGTACGGTGTCCTATAGTTACTAACTGATCGTCATTTGATCGCAATTGGAAAGTTCTCTCATTGGCAATCATCAGTAGTAAATGAATTATAGTCGTAGAAGGTCATGAAATGTCTGATCAATAAATTATTAAGTCATATTCAGTCTTTCGGTCAATTTTTAGACTTCTAGATTACGATAAAGTCAGTGTTGTTCAGACAATTCGCTTGCAGTCAGTTCAGTACTGTTTGGTAGCTTTTCAGACAATATAGTCTGTTGTTGATGTGTACAGGTAAATAACAACTACTGAACAGTTGGAACATAGACTGAACAGATATGAACTTACCGCAGTGATTAAGGCTAAAAATTGACAAAAAGACTGAAAATAATCGAATAATTTATTGTTCAATCCATTAAAGACTGTGTGGATCAAAACGACCATTTCAGATCAAAATTGGTTAACTATGGAATACCACATATCCACTTTTTACATTTTACATTGTATACTACTTTATATCATTCATACTGTTGTCAGAGTTTAGAGTGAAAAAGATTAAAAACAGAAGTATAGAATGGCATGTGAGATATACAAACATTAAAAAGTAAAATCACAAAAATACTGAACTCCGAGGAAAATTCAATCGGAAAGTCCCAAATCACATGGCAAAATCAAATGACAAAACACATCAAACGAATGGACAACAACTGTCATATTCCTGACTTGGTACAGGCATTTTCAAATGAAGAAAATGGTGGATTGAACGTGGTTTAAAGCGCTAAACCTCTCACTTGTACGACAGTCTCATCAAATTCCATTATATTTACAACGATGCGTGAACAAAACAGACATTATAAATAAAATAGTCAAAATATGGGTGCAGCAGTCATCACTGTGTTACAATATCAAAACAAACAATTATTTACAAAAAAGAACAAAAGCATCTATCAAATTAAAAACCACATTGATTGCTTCGCGTGTCTGACGTCAGAAAATGTAAACGTCACATAAGAAGAAATTTTGTCATTCAATGTTTATTCAAAACAATTTTATAATTTCACATGTGGAATGTTGGTATACAGGGTTAAAAGAGTGTTGGAAGGGAATATGTTGTTCAAACTAGATTGATCATTGACTTCATTGGCAGGACGAGCAATAATTTGTTAGGCTCCCGTCGAATATTGATTTTAATGTTGACCGCTAGACATCATGGGTTTCTTTTCATTGAGTTTATGTCTCATTAAGTTATTCTTTAAAACTTTTTATTCTTTATTATGGTCAATGGACACATGCAATGATTGTCTTGCTGGTAAATGTTGACAGCTTCATACCAATAAATCAAAAGGCTAATGAAATGTAAAACTCGTTACCAATATCTCAAACTCGAAGAAAATCTTTTTATTCGTGGAATATATTTTCAAAATCTGCTAGAAATATAGTTATTGTATAATAATTTTGACGATTATCGAGAATTTCTATAAATTGAAGATCAAAAACTTGAAAAAAGTCATTATTGTTTTACGATCACGAATTGGTTGATCGATATGATGTGTTGGTGTTTAAACTCAAAAACATATTTTCGCGGTCTTAGATCTTTAGAAAAAAGTATAGTTCTTTGATCTGTAATTTTACCGGTTATGTCCTATTCCAGATTGTGACATTCTGATTGTGTGTGGACTCGAGTGACATAGGAGTTAATGCGATTACATACAAAGTTTTTCTTTGTTACCTTGATTTGTCTTTGATATTTGATATTTGAAGATCGATAAACTTGTGTCGCCTCAATTTAGTATTTGATTTGTTGATGACGTAATCAATTAAGTTTCATTTTCATTCACCTTTTTAAAAAATGTTAATCCAGAAGTCACAATGACGTAACGTTCACTTAAACAAAATCACTGAACCATTTTGTTCATATGTTATTAGTGTGTTCATTGAAATTAAGATTAACAACTTGAATAAAATTTTACAATAAAATTTATCTTTTATCCAACAAATTGTAAAAAGACAAGTATATACATGTCGTTTGAAATGAAAATACGAGAGGTTTCTAAATTAAGGCTAGTATATTTGCTGCTTTCTTACATTTGTCTTAATACGTTTTCTGTAACATATATTAATATGACATAGTTAGTATAAATGAAAAGACTAACAATAACTGTTACGTACCGGTTTGTGTCTCTGTTTAATACATACGCATACTAATGATAAAAGGAATCCCATATCTGAAACAGTTCTTTAAAATGAAACATTTTGTTAACGTTAATTTAATTTAGATTGGCCATTATAAATCATAAATCATAATACAAATACATTTCCTCAAACAGTAATACAAAAAAAATGGAATAACCAAAAAACCGAACTCCAATGAAAATTCAAATCGGAAAATCCCTTATCCAATGGCAAAATCAAAAGCTCAAACACATCAAACGAATGGAAAACAATTGTCATATTCCTGAAAATGTACAGGCATTTCCTTATGTAGAAAATGGTGGATATCTACTGTTTAAAAAGTCAAGTTAACACATTTCCTGCAATCATTTGAAAACATCTTTTGTTTACAACGCTAAACCGTTTTCCTTTCTGGTTTGATAAATATATAAGTAAATTACCAAGACTTTCTTCGAATTGAAGATCCATATGGTAACGAATTTAATATTGCTTGTATTTCCCATCACGATTTTCTTTGATAGTGGGTTGCTGCTCACAAGGAAGCTATTAAACCAAGAGTTCCAAATGGTGAAGTTGAAATCATCCCTTCGTAAATTTTACGGACGCCATCACGAGTTGGTTGACTGTTATGGAATAACCGTTTCACAGATGATATCGGATATGTTCCTTATGTCGTAATTACAATCCACCTCTTTTTTCACCACGAATGTGACCTACCGAATTTGACTATTTACTGGATTCGTAATAACATGAGCAACACGACGGGTGCCACATGTGGAGCAGGATCTGCTTACCCTTCCGGAGCACCTGAGATCACTCCCAGTTTTTAGTGGGGTTCGTGTTGCTTAGTCTTTAGTTTTCTATGTTGTGTCTTGTGTACTATTATTTGTCTGTTTGTCTTTTTATTTTTTAGCCATGGCGTTGTCAGTTTATTTTTGATTTATGAGTTTGAATGTACACCTGGTATCTTTCGCCCCTCTATTACATTTATCTTAAGACGTTTTATGTAACAAAAATTAATATGACATAGTCAGTATAAATGAAAAGACTCAAAATAACTGATACGTACAGGTGTCTCTCTCTGTTTAATATGTATGCATGCAAATGATGAAAGGAATCCCATATCTGAAACAATTCTGTAAAATGAAACTTTTAACATATTTCCTTACGATCATTTGAAAACATCTTTTGTTGACAACGCTAAAGACATTTTGAATAAGTTTTACTGTATAATTCACAACTAATAATGCAGTTATATTTACTATAGTTTATTGTGCAAATATCACATTTTCATATTTTCTGACAAATACTTTGAAAAAATATTTTGTTTTGTGTCCAAAACTTGGATTTCACATTTTTTTCGTTTGTCATAAAATTGTTATTTGAGTTCTCAAGAAGTCCTCAATAAAACGGTTAAGTGGGCATTTCTTGACTCGGGTGAAGAAATCATTTTTTGTTATCCATTTTTTTGGACGATTATGATATATGTATAGGGTGCAGATGTTGTTTTTTTTTTCACTCGTGGTTATTAGTCTGAGGTTGCAAAGTGAGCAATTTTTTAGTATTGGCTTGGCCAGTGCTAAAGATGAGAAGCGAAAGATACCAAAGGGATATTTAAACTCATTAGTCGAAAACTAACCGACAATGCCATGACAAAAAATGAAAAACGACGAAAAGACAAACACTAGTAAACAAAACACAACAAAGAAAACTGATGATTGGGCAACACAAACCCTTCCAAAATGGGGATGATCTCAGGTGCTCCGAAAAGAGTTCAGATTGTGGTCACAACAATCGGAACATATCCGTCGTCATCTGTCAACTTACTCGTGATGGCGTCAGTAAAATTTTCGAAGGGATGATTTCAACTTCACCACTTGGAATTCTTGGTTTGATAGCTTTCTTGTGAGAAGCAACCATCTATCATGGAAATCATGATAGAAAATGCAAGCTCTAGACGGTTAACAGCTGATCCAATTTAGTTTTTGTCAGACTTGGTCAACTTTGACAATTTTAAAGACTTTCCTCTAATTCAAGATAAAAGTATAATTCTATACTGATATTCACTTCATTTATTTTTAATATAACAATAGTATTTTATATTTTTTACAATGACTTGTTTTACAATGCATTTTAGCTTGCGGTTATCGCGTGGTTTTATAATGGTCGGCCACTTCTCGATTAATTTTTAACAGAACCTGTGTCTGAAAATTTGCGAACAATGTCAATAACTGTTGACTTTGGGGTTTTAAGGAGGTCACTAATTTTTCGAGGAGAAAACCAATTCCGGAACAATTCTATTATCATGTTTTTGACATCCGTTGACAGTTCCTGACCTTGTTATTTTACTCGTTCCGGCGATACCAAAATAGCAGATGACAACAAACGTCACATGACGGTATACCATGTGATGCAGAACGCTAAAGATAAATACTCAGTGACATTAATGACGGAGGGCAAGGCCATTTAAAACTTAGCAGAAAAAAAAAGAAAACACGTTGTCATTGTGACCGAATACTTTTTGTACCTTTCTGTAAGTACTGATACATGCACGGCGCCATTCTTTACTCGAACTAAGTCGACATTTAAAGTCGTCCTCGAATGTTTTACACAAAATGGTTGAAACTACATTGCCTGTGTGTTATTTCTTTCAAACATGCATATTTTTCTCTTTATTTTCATTACGCTTTTCCAAACCGTTAACATGGTTAACGATAACTCAAAATACAGTTGTGTTTGCTCAATTTGTTATTCAATATATTGCATGAAACATTATGCCTGAATAATCTTTTGATTGTTAAATCAATGAACAGATCCGTGTTTATTATTTTTTTATTTTTATCAAATTGGGTCAATATTTTCGACTATTTTTTATTCCCAATTGTGAACTTTCCATTTCTATGTAGCAACATTCCAGCAGCCTCTGCATACGGAGTATATATCTCCCAATTGATACGATATTCCCGGGCTTGTGTTTCCTATCATGATTTCCTTGATAGAGGATTGCTGCTCACAAGGAAGCTATTAAGCCAAGAGTTCCAAATGGTGAAGTTGAAATCATCCCTTCGTAAATTTTACGGACGCCATCACGAGTTGGTTGACCGTTATGGAATAACCGTTTCACAGATGATATCGGATATATTCCTTATGTCGTAACTACAATACCCTTCCCTTTTCCCGAATGTGACTTACCGGATTAGACTATTTACCGGATTTGTAATAACATAAGCAACACGACGGGTGCCGCATGTGGAGCAGGATCTGCTTACCCTTCCGGAGCACCTGAGATCACCCCCAGTTTTTAGTGGGGTTTGTGTTGCTTAGTCTTTAGTTTTCTATGTTGTGTCATTTGTACTATTATTTGTCTGTTTGTCTTTTTATTTTTGGCCATGGCGTTGTCAGTTTGTTTTCGATCTATGAGTTTGACTGTCCCTCTGGTATCTTTCGTCCCTCTTTTTTAAAGGTTCCTTTGAAATCAGATCTGCGAAGAGTTAAAATGTGAAATTAAATTTTGTTTTAGCTAGACATGTTTTTAAATATTTTTTGTTTTTGTTTCATTTCATGAAGTCTTTCAACATTTGATATCCATAACTCACAATACAGTTATATTTACTAAAATGGATTGTTTTACAATTTATTGTCTGAAACGTTATATATGTAAAAGCGGTGGTTATAAATTGGAAAAGTGCTGGTTCATATTTCGTTCAGATTCGTTCAATATTTTCAACGGTTAATGACACAGTCTTTGATACATCCAATAAGGCCGATTGCTTTACATTTGTCATTTCGCTGCCTTTTATAGCTGACAATGCGGTTTGGGTTGCTCATTGTTGAAGGCCGTACGGTTCCCTATAATTTTTGTGTCATTTGGTCTCTTGTGGAGACTTGTCTTGTTGGCAATTATTCCACATCTTGTTATTTTTATATTTGAATTCAGATATAGGTCTGGTTATGAATTTAACATTATTGTGACGTTATTTGTGTTATGTAAGTAGCCAATCTGTTTTTATCAAGGCTGTATCCTTCTATTTTACAAGGATACTGGGAAACTCTCTCAGATTAAGTTGAGGTTTAGATACATCCAAGAAAGGTTTAATATTGCTATGATGAAATTAATAGGAAGATTTTTTATCAGAGCAGTTATTTGGCCTATGAAATTGAAAAAAAAAGTAAATTTAGTAAAGAATTTCGACGATAAATTTCATTGATGAAATGAAACGATTGAATCATCTTGACTCATAACTGATGAAAGGGTACTTTTGATGTCACTTTATTGTCAAAAACATGTCGACATGGACATATTTGACCAACTGTGGCCAATTAACGCATCTAGTTGTGGGGAAGTGGTATGAGTCAAGGACTTCTGGAAAAGATATTTTTTTCAGAAATAAGCATCTTTGTATAAAAAAGATCGAGTAGCAGGATAGCTTTTTGGGTTAATATATGGCTAACATATAAATATTGATGATAAGATTTCATGATGAGAATTTGTTTGGCATTCTTTTGCAAACTTTGAACTAAATCCAAGCAGTTCGAAAATGAAAATAATGATAGCTGACAGATTATTATCTTCAATCTTTCGAACATCTAAGGTTGCTGAGTCCCTTTGGAAGTTAGATGAAGGCTAGACTGGTTGGCCTGGAATCAGCATAATGTGTCCTGTTAGATTGGTTTGTCTTCCTGCGAAATATTACCTCGTAGACTAGCACATTATAAGTTCGTCGCAATCAGCGATCTAGTACAAGGCAATATTCCTTTCAAAATTTTATTAACATATTCTTGTTATAGATATGCATTATTTTCTTGCCACTGGACAGTAAAATGACATTCTTATCATCATCTTCATCATCATCATCTTCATCATCATCTGAAGATAGGTGTTTGTACATTTTGATATTCGAATTCACGGGGAAAAGGGCCTCTTTCAAAATAGATACTTGTGTGTTTGCTGCTTCCATACATTATTCTTAATTTGATATCTTTAAATAGCATAGCGGGTACATTTCGAAAGCCTCCACATAACTTTTTGTTTCATCTTTTTTCTAATCTTTGTCAGAATAAATGCAAAGGTTAAAACATTAATAAACTTCAAAATATAAGACAACATGTATGCTAATTTCATTTAGCTGTTCAAACATTAAATTCATAAATCTAAATACAGCTATATTTCTTCAAATGTCGGACGTCGAGATTTACACTCATCGGGATTCGGGAATTAATAATTAATTTTTCGGGGTCGGGGAAAAAGTGTTTTATTTTTGCGGGATTTCGCTTTTCCCCCTGCTACCCCCTCCCCACCCCACTTTTCCAAGAAAACAACAGCTACAGTTAAGGGTACCTCTTATCTAGACTTTCTTCTAGAAATTAACAGTGAGGGTCGGTTGAGAAAAATAAAATTACGACAATAAATATGATTTCAGCTTACCGATTGAGAACTTTTCATTTCTGTGTAGAACATTCCAGCAGCACCTCTGTGTGTAATATATTTCTCCCAACTCATGCAATATTCCAGAGCATGCATTTCTATCATGATTTCACCGAAAAGTGTTGCTGCTTACAAGGAAGCTGTATATTAAACCTGGGTTTTCAAAGGTGAAGTGGAGGTCATTTCTTTACAAATGTAACGAACGCCTTCACATTTTGTTTTGAGCGTAATGGAATATCATTTTCACAGATGCCGACATTTATGCTCCAATCCAAAATCCAGTCCTCTTTTCCTCGAATTTTATCTATCACCGACTTTGCACTTTCACGAGAGATACCATAGTTGCTACATGTTGAGCACATTCTGTTTAATTATCTTGAACCCCAGAGATCACACCTGTTGTTGGTTGGGTTAGTGTTGTACAATCGTTATAGTTTTCTATGTTTTGTTTTGTCTTTCGGTCGTTTTTCGTTTATTCCAATAGCGTTGTCAATTTGTCTTCGACTTGTGAGTTTGAATATCCCTTTGGTATTATCTGCCTCTCTTTTGTAATTAATTATCATGATTTTCGCTGTTGTAAAGGGGAATATTATCTTGACTTGAAGTTACCCTGATTCTGGTTTAATGACCAAATATTAGTCAGCATTCAGAAATGATGAAAAAATCCAACCATATATTTCTATTGCGACTTCTTTTAACTTGGGATAGAATGGCGGGTAGTGGCTGACTTTGGCTCCAGCTGTATCTTCATAATGATTTCAGGACCGTTCAATTAGCATTGTTCACAAATAAATACTATAAACGGGATTTTCACTATTAGAAAAAAATCGCAAATATTGAATGCTTGGCACATTCCCAAAGATCTGCAAAACATATACTTACCAATACACACATCAACGGATCTCAGCCTATCAAAATAGGATATTAGAATTATAGTTTTCACACACATTTTTAAACATCTCACTTTTTATGAATAGATCTAAAAAATACTTCAATAACCAGATAATTTTCTTTTATGTGTTGATCTCACACGTTCACAGTCCTGTCCTTTCTGAATATTTGTTCTAAAAGCTCTTCAACTTCGCACTTTGTTTGGCCTTATATTAAAAAAATGTTGAGCGTCAAGAATGAATATTGGGTAGACTAAAACGCCTGTCTGACGTATGCAACTATAAGCCTGGTATCTTTGATTTCCTCTGATTAAATTCTTTTATTTCTTTGTCTTCAAAGTTTTTGAATCATTGTATCACATATATCATCCTCTTAATATTTATTTTTGTTCCTACTGACAATGGCTTGATTCCAAAATTTTCATTGAATTCACATGTGACATGAAGTGAATTATTTCATATTAAACACGGTTACCAGTTTTTTGTCACACGTATCTTTAACAATTCTCTTTCCATGCATAGATTTCAAGTTATATCAATAAATATCATATATGGTCTGACAATTTGCTTGTGTGTGTTGATCTTCGAATGAAGCAAATGCGCGTTTTTTTTGTCTGTTTTTTTTTTCAATTTCACTGTGTGTTATAACATCATTGCTTTCAAGTTATATTAATGCTGAAAAAGGTATTGTAAACAATTATTGGAAATCTAAATATTAACTTTGACTTTCTTAATGCCAATTAAGTAAACTTGAATGCAGCTTTGTAATAAAAAAAGTACTGCCAATGTGAGAGCTTCCTTAGACTACAAACAAAAGCTTAACAACATGATATTGTAACTGATATTTACCCATCGCAATGCTTAACCAATTTGTTATTAAATATAGTTTTACCAGCATTGACTGAATGCAACTGAGTCAAGCAGAAACATTATGGATGTCCAATAAAACTATAATATTTCAATGCAATCATCAAAATCTGTGCAAATTGTTTTCTGAAAGTGTATTAACTTGTCTGTGAAAAAATCCCCAACGTAAATTTAATCTGTTACGAGATTCATATTCAAAATCAAGAAAAATGCAAAAGTAAAACCCTGGAAAGCCGTTTAAATCACCAAATTTAAGCTCCACGAAAATAAACCACTTTGCAGTATGCGTTTATTGACACAAAAGTGTAGGGCAATTTCTATATTGGGGATTTTCCTTTTTGCCTGGAGTTATTGTCGTTGATTGATTTTTAAAAGACACTTTAGGTCGATTTCTTGAGATATCATGAGATTGATCGATCCGATCCGATTGAAACTTAATATGTTATTACTGATAATAAAATTTAGGTCATATTCAATATACTTTTTTACTCTTCGACTTATGAAATAATGTTTCTTGTTTGATAATTAAGGAAATGGCCATTAATGTCGTTTCCAAGGAATAACCTGCGAACCATTCAAACCAGTGTTTTTAAGATTCAAATATGTTTTTACTGATGACAACATAGAAATCATGTTCAATATTTGACATTTTCACAACGGTTATAGCCTTGAGGGATATGAAAAAACTTTTTGATTTAATTAGAAAAGTTCTTTTCAAATTTTCATACTTTTTATAAAAACAAAAAGGAGATCAAGATTTGTTGTTATTTTCTACAGCTATTATCTTTGAAGGTAATTTGGCATTAGGTAATCGGTATACATTTTCAAATGTTAATCTACATTATCGTGTTGCTCAGTTTTTAGTTTGAAATAACAACTATGAAGTAAGAATTATTAACTTGCAAGTAAGAAATGTCAACTTCGAAGTGATAGATATGAATTTGAATGTAAGAAATGTCAACTTGAAAGGGACAAATATGAAGTATGGAGTAAGAATTATCACTCTGGAAGTGAGAAATGTCAAATTTGAACTGAGATTAATTCAAGTTTGATGGGATAGATGAGTTCAACATAGTAACCAATTTTTGAATTATTTAGTGGGAGGACATCATCCGTATAGCGGAACGTCAACTTAAAGGATAATAATGGCTTCTTTTCATTCTTCCTAAGAAGCTATTATATGAAGTCTATCTCATAAAAATATAGGAAAAGGCCAGCATAAAGAGCAGCATAGTTGGTTCAAATTAACATGATTGAGATGTATGATTTGAGTATCAAAAACTCATATGTTGTCAAAAATGCTTAACATTTCTGTTAAATTTTGATTTGGAAAGAGCTTGTCTCGGTTGTCATATTTTTATTACACCAATAGAACAAATATTCGATGAGAAGAAAATAATTAGTAGCCACAGGAATACTACCCACAAGCCCATCCTTTTGTGCGTCTCTTTCGTTTTTTCTTTTTTTTTATATCGAAAATACTTAATGTAGAACAAACAACGTTTTACAGTCATGAAAAAACAAGAAAATATTAAAAGAGCAATTGAAGCTATGAATTTAAGAAAACACCATGACAATCAAAGACAAACAAAAACAAAATGATAAAACGTTTGGTATGTAGATAACATAAACTTCAAGAAAGCTGAATGTAAAAATGTTAATAAATATATAAAACTATTACATTCAAAAACAAAAACAGATATTCGAAAACAAATATCACTAAATGCATTAATCAACTAAGGAAAACGCCTTATGAACCCATTTTAAACACAATTAAATGCCGCACGGCTGCCTATAATTGGGTATATCCACTTCATATGAATTTTGGTGGATATTTGTCTCATTGGCAATCGTACCACATCTCCTTATTTTTGTATAAGTTTAAACAGTGCATGAACCACTGGTGACATCCGTTGTGTTTGCTATCTTGGAATTAAAACCCGGTGCACAGTCACAAAATTGAATGTTGAAATCGAAAACAGTATAATATTTGAACTTTATTTGTTTATTATAAAGCTTGTTTTAAAAGGAATTACTTCAGATGGGTTCATTTCATTTGTATACTTGTATAAAGGCAAATCCGGATTGTAATAAAGAATATCTCATATACATAATTGCTGGTATTGTGAACAATATCAAGGGATATTTTGTTTTGTCTAGATGAACAAAGGCAACAGTAGTATACCGGTGTTCAAAAGTCATAAATCGATTTAGAGAAAACAAATCCGGGTTGCAAACCAAAATCGAGGGAAACACATCAACTATAAGAGGAAAACAAAGGAACAACAGGAACACCGAAGTGCAACAAAAAGAAACGCCAACACACATAGAAACGAACTATTTGATAACAACTGCCATATTCCTGACTTGGTACAGGACATTTTAAGAAAAAAGGTGGGTTGAACCTGGTTTCATGGCATGCCAAACCTCCCGCTTTATGACAATGTTAAAAAATATCGCTAAAACACTAAGTGACAGAAAAACAGCACAAACACACGCAAGAACATTCATAACAGAGAAACGCACAAACATATAATATAATAGTCGACACAACATACAAACCACAGAACAACAACGAACATATTCTCCATCAACGAAAAACACCACAGGTTATCAAAAACAGTGACGCGCTTACGTAACTAACAAGCAATCTGGAACTTATACAATTATTTTCACAATTTTCATGACAATAATGGTATTGAAAGGCAAATTTATAATTATTTTGACTAAAAACGATAAGACATAACAGATTATCCAACCTAAACCATAACAGAAACAACAAAAACAATTGACTATACATTATGATTATTAAACAAAACTTCTTAACAATATCTGATACATGAAACAAGTTCCGAAACGGTTGTAAATGAGAGGCGAAAGCTAACAAAGGGACATTTAAACTAATTGTAAGTATATCTTATTTCAGAAAACTGAAACATGTGTAATAAGACATTTATTTGATGTAGATATTAAACAAAATTTATAAGGATCCATGTGCAATCTGGGAAGTCAATACATCTCTTAATTTTATAGTGTTCAGTAGAAGCTTCCAGTTCAGTCTTTGTTGAATTTTGTTTATCTATTATCATACCCCCAGTACCCGATTTTTTTTAAAAAGGGTTGAGTACTTTAGAAGGGTACTTACAAAAAACAACAACGACAACGACAACGCCATTTGCAAACAAAAATAGTGTACTATAGTATTTAATTTGTCCTAAATATAAATAAGAAGATGTGGTATGAGTGCCAATGAGACAACTCTCCATCCAAGTCACAATGTATAAAAAGTAAACAATTATAGGTCAAAGTACGCCTTCAACACGGAGCCTTGGCTCACACCGAACAGCAAGCTATAAAGTCAAGATATAATGTTGATAGAACTGTTTGTTAGAAATATGTATCATTATACACTTTCAAAATGTTTTATACGATTATCATTAAGATCCGTGCATTGTTTTTTAGATTTCAAGAACTGTTTATCAGCTTTCTCTCCACTGCACCAAAATTTGCAGCAAGAGGAAAATGATTCAATGATGACTTCACCATAGATATTTTAAAAAAGTTAATTTTAGTTAAAAAAAAATCATAAATTTGTCTTAAAATCATAAAATTTCTAATTTCTAATACATAGATTTTTCTGGAAAAACTATATGTAGATACGAAAATTTCCTTTTTAATGATGTAAAATAATGATAGGGTCCCCGACTTCTGGTTTACAGTAAACATCATTCAAAGAAGTGTTCTAAATGAAAAAAAATATCACAAAACGTCGAAACCACCTTAAGTCAATCATAGAAAGAAGTTGGATTCTATTGAGCCTTTGGTGCAAAAATTTAACTTTTTTTCTTTATGATGTCACAAACATGTCGAAATTGATATTACTACCTTACATGTCGATTTTATCACATAGATTTGGACAAAACAGATATCAACTAAGCCTTACCCATGAGAACATGTAACACACATCTTTAAATGTTGTTATTTTTACAGTTTTGCACTAGATGCAAGACGTTTAAACCCCTTATGCACATAAGAAACAAAAATTGAAAACTATAAAAATTCTGATATCTGACAGACTAGTGTCTTGTGAAAATCTGCAGAATGTTCAAATTAAATGTATGGTACTGATTAATGTTTGAATTTAAGGCGACACAACAGTGGCTTTATGATAAATAGTGTTAAATAACACAAAGTAAAGAAAAATCATGTGGCACTAATAATCTTCCATACAAAAGTTGATGTTATTTTTTATTTTTTAATATACCTAGGACTGTTTTATATTACGTTGACAAAATACAATATTCACTGACTCATCATTAAACGACGGACAATTTCTTAATTCACGGATCATACGGGTATTAGGTGAAAAAAAAGTAAAATCACAAAATTACTGAACTCCGAGGAAAATTCAAAACTAAATGTCCCTAATCAAATTACCGCAAAAATTGACTCCGTTATGTCAGTCAAACATTTACATTATCTGTTAGAGATAAATGATTATAAACAATTATAAAAAATCTCCGAAACGATATAGATAAAGGCAACAGTAGTATACCGCTGTTCAATAGTCTTAATTCGCTTAAGCGAAAACAAATCCGGGTAACAAACTAAAACCGAAGGAAACACATCAACTATAAGAGAAAAACAACGGAACAACAGAAACACTGAACTACAACGAAAGCAAACGCAAACAAACATAGAAACGGACTATCTGATAACAACTGCCATATTCCTGACTTGGTACAGGACATTTTAAGAATAAATGGTGGGTTGAACCTGATTTTATGGCTAGCCA